AGTAGCATGTTCTTCTGAGCTCTTTCTTGTTTCTTGGCCCACAAAGAACTCCAGTCATCCAAAATGCTTTCTTTTCATTTTCAGAGAGCCAAAAAACCGATCTCCATAGCCACAATCTTAAGCATGCATAGAGCACAGCCACATCTTGCACAGTCTTGGTGAAGAGCACTAACACCAAGTCCCAAACGCTCAGCAGTGTCTGTTCTGTCGCAAGGACACAGCCTCTGCCTTTCTGCAGTGTTCCCTATACACTCTCCCTTGCACGCACACCTCAGGACTTAATTTAAGGAAAACCAACAGCCAATCTCTCTCATTTTCCCCTGCACTGTTTCCATGAATTCCATAAACTCTAACCCTCGATACCCACGACACCACAATAGTCATCACGTACATTCACTAAAGTCAAGAATTACAGTCTGAACCACCTAAACTAAAACAGAATGCTTCCCTTGGATCCTGGCACTTGAAACAACCAAGTTATGCTAAAGTGGTGACACGCTCTGAAAATTCTCCTGAACTTTTTTAATCAATGAAACCCCATGGACAGATAAGTCCTTTATTTCTTCTGAGCCTTGGGCTTCTTGAGTGGTAATAATGACCTTATTTTATAAGGATCAAATGGGATAATGTATATGAAATCCACTCAACACAGAGGAAAACGTCATAGCACAAAAATACCAAGAACAACCATCAAAAGCCATTGCCTTTCTGTATGCTTCTGACTAAAGAATAGGAAGGATGAATGCCCAAAAGAGGCAAAAGATAAGTGGGTTCTGGAAATTGGAGGAATATGCCAAGGCCATGCTGGGTTGGATTCAGGCCACCTGGTCACCCTACCTAACCTGATCACCTAACCCTGACTTCCAAAAGCTTAGTGCTAATCATTTGTTCTTCTGAAAATCTCAACAACAGATCATCCTTCCTATCTGGTGGGTTTTTTTTTTCATTCTAAACATTAATTAGAATGGAAAACACTGAAGAAAACTTGAGATTTACTCAATTTCCTTTATCAGGTGTATTAGCAGGTCATCAAAATTAAATGGAGAAAAACCTTCAGGCTCAGAGTCACACAGCCAAAAGCAACCCTAGAAACTACCCACCTAATAGACTAGAAGACCAAGATATAAATCTGCCCCCAGCTACACAGCTCTTTATGGAAGAGCTAGTTCGTGAACCCAACCTTCAACTCCCAGGTTAGGGATCTTTCCATCCACCAAGTTCCCATACTAAGACTACTAACATTAGACCAACCACTAAGTACTTGGACTAAAACTACTAACATATAGTAGCACAGAGCTTACAATACTCAAACCTTTGTAAATCAGCCACTCAGCAGACTCATGTGTCCAAACTGTAGGCAGCGATAAGGGTAATAAAACAGCCATCGTCTTCTAATCCAATGAGAAGCACCCAGGCTGAGGAAGGTGAGTGTAGAGACGGCTATGATAAAAGATTGAAAGAAGTTTTGGTATAAACAACGTCCCTTCTGGAGAAGAAGACAGAACGTAGAAGGGAGGGAGTGTAAGCACTATACAAGGCATGAAAGGGGATGATGGAAGTTAGGTACCAACAATCTCTAGAAGAGAGTCTTCCTTTCCCAGGATTAATAACGCCGTAAGTGTTCATACCACCATCCTTACATGGTCATCAGATAGCAAAGTGGCCCAGGTAACAGCCATGCCCCAATAGTTCCCTGCCTCCTCCACACTGGGTAAGGAGATTTTCTGAGTCATCTTACAATACTTAGGGAAAATTTCTCTTACTGCTTTTGTATAATGCTAAAACTATTGTCCACAATCCCACAACCAGTGTCTCTGCCACCAGACCGAGCTCCTTGAAGGCACAGGCTGTATCTTACTCTTATTAACCCCAGCACAGTGCATAGGACACAGCAATGTCTCCCTGACTGCATGGAGACATTCTCAATTTAGCCATAACTTCTTCAGGAACTTCATTTCAGAGTCAGTTTGGGTTAGAGCCCCACGTTTTGGATAGAGTATAACCTATTCCAGGCGCCATAGCATCTATGCAGCTCTTACAGAACCTTTAACCATGAATCGTCAACTAGACTAACCCCTCTCTGAGGGTAAGGAGTGTGTCCTTACTTTAGCCTCACCACTTGCCTTTAGAAACCACAGGGGTTGAGGACAAGCCTTCAGAATGGGTTGATAAGTGAATGAAAGGGTCCCCACAGAGAAGCTGATGGAGCAAAGAGTCTCCATCACAGAGACACTCAACGGTCTCTAGGAAAACTTATAGCTAGTCCATGGAGTGGACTCTCTCAGAGTAGAGCCACGGTGTTTCTCACAGCCTCTGCTGCCAGAGGAAGCCGAACCTGAGTGTCCTCCATACTCAGGAACAAAGACCGAACGAGCCCTCCTTCAAGTCTCATCGCTAGAGAGCACCTGTTGCTAAACTAGCAGCTGGGAAGCATTTTGTTTTGTTCAAAACAACAACAACAAAACCAATCTCTTGCAGGAAGTAGCACTACACTGACAATGAGAAATCATGAGGCTAAATATGTAGCAGGAAGAAGAACTGGATTTCAGCAAGGAAAGACAAGGAAGAAGCCGTTACAGCCTGAGGAGAAGAACCCAAGTGTTGATGAGAAATTGCTCAGCCTGCCTTAATGCAAAACAGGAGAGTAGACTGGTGGAGAAGGGGAGAATAGGGGAGGAGGGGAGGGGAGGAGGGAGAGAGAAGAGAAGGAGGGAGAGAATGAATGTGGTTTGTTCTTGGCTCTGTCTCATTTTTAATCTGCTTTTTTTTCCCTCTCTCCCTCCCCTTTTTTACCTTGTCTCAGGAGAGAACTCATTGATTGGGCTGGACCGAAATGTCTCACCTTTCCTCGTTATGGCTCCTGTGTGAGGAATGTGTCTAAACCCCTCTCATCCTTGACTATGCTTCTCTCCTCAGGCCCCCCTCCCTGGCAGCCATTGTTCGCGCCCTCATACTTTGCAGGGGCTGAGACACCTCGTCCATCAGCCCCTCTGACAGCAGGGAGGAGGGGACAGGGCATGGCAGGGGGTAGTCCATGGCATCACAGGCGACGGCATCATGTCAACATCACCCTGCATCTGACAGCTGAGACACCCTGATAAGTAACCTGTTGCCTGTTTCCAGGCAGAGCCAGCTCTCCAGGTGCAGAAGGCAGAAGGCACAGACAATGCAGCCCTCCCTCCACACAAAAATAAAGCAACAGAGCCTCCCACCAGAACGCAGGGAAGCAGGTGGAGCTGGCGCACAGAAGTCTGCCCGGGGTCTGGGAGGGCTGAGGCGATACCCCAGACTCAAATATGCATACCGTTGTTTCTCTGCACCTCTGCTTCTATAAACCAAGGGGGGCTGAACTAGATTTCCTGTGGTCCCTCCACTAATAGGTTTCCATTTCATAAGAAACTGTTAGCCATCTAGAGAGCCCACATGGTCTTCTCCCACTCTCTGTGAGTCCCCAGAGTACTCCTCTTGGGCAGACCCAGTATGAAGGGGGGCGGGGGGACGACGAGAAAAGCATCTCTGACTCCTGGACCTCCTAAGATGCCTGCCTGACTTCAGAGAAGCCATCCCCTTGAAGATGGCAGCTGAGGCGACTCAGAGTTAGGATCTGTGAGGGAGGGCGGCAGTGGGAAGCACCGGGAGGCCAGAGGAGGGAGAAGCGTGGATCAGCCAAACCCTGGAATTAGATGATTCATATTTGAATAATGTGGGAGGGATGAACTCAGAGCAGCCAAGATAAGAGGCTAACTCTGCTGAGGGTGCCCCCCCACCTCATCCCAGCTGGGGGCAAGAGCAGTCAGGGCCTATCATTTGCCATGGGGAAGGAACTCAGGCAATTGATAATTTCGTTCTGAGAGTAAAAAAATGAGGGGGGATTTGCCTTTCTTCCTTCTTACATGTCTTTTCTCCCGTTCCAGTGATTTGCTTTGGCTATTTTAAGCTGGATCCCATTTTCCTAGTGTCTTGATCTTACCCCACCCCATCACACCCCATGGAGCTGGTGGATGCTCCGGAGGAAACAAACTTTTTTCTTCCTGCAGCCATTTGCTCTCTTCTCTTCCGCCTGTGACCTGGTACTATCAGCATGACCTTTTGACACCTAACTCTGTTTTCTCCACTGTCTCTTTGGTTGTCTCTGACCCACCCCCAGCCATCTAAACCCTCCTCACCCTGCCCCATTTTTCCTTCAGCGGGGCTACTCTGTGAATCTGAGGTGGCCACCCCAGGACCACTTGCTCCTTAACCCAGAATTGCCAAATTGTAAACAGTATTACAAACAAGGGCTTCTCCTAGCACCAGAAGATGGGAAGAAAGTTCACAAAAGGAGAAGAGGTGCCTCAGAGGCACTGCCAGAAGTTACCTCTGAACCTCCATACAAATTAACCTTGTTGGGGGGAGGGGCGTCGATCTATTACAGGGTTGTCTTTTATCTTCCAAATGGCTCCAGTAAGACTGATCAGGCCTTAAATTCCAGGGTCAATCAAGCCTGTTCTTCATCTTCCCAAACCCCTTCCCCTCCAGCCAGAGAGCCCCAGAGTGTGCCCCTGGGTCTCCCTCCTCCTCTAGGGAAGTAGCTGGGGAGACCCCCCCCCAACCCCCCCCCCCCCCGCCCCCCCGCCTCCAGAAAACCAGTGCTGTTAATGAATCAAACCCTTCTGAGCTTTCCCCAGGCTTTGCCCAGGACTCAGAGCCTAACAAACTCAGAGAAAGAAGGAGGAAGAATCATTGTCTGGAGGGGAAATATGCATCCTAAGAACAGCCTCATAGCGCTAGTGAGTCAAACACCTGCATCTCCACCATCCAGTTCCTTTGCAATAGAGCATTCTCCCTTGCCTCCCCCATCATCCAAACACACACACACACACACACACACACACACACACACACACACAGGCTAAGCAGCTTAAACACCGTCAAAAGGGAGGAAAACGAGGGTGGAGTGGACCACCACCACTGTGGGAATACATATAAAGTTATCCGTCTCTGTAGCAAAGGACTCTTACCTGTTAACCAGAAGACAGCGGTCCACCCCAACACGACCCTATCCATCTTCCCCAACTTCCCATCCAGATCCAGGGTAGGGAAAGCGGGCAGAGGCTGGCACTCTAGGATCCTGATGACCTCGAGGCAGCAGGCGGCGGTGGAGCGCGGGCCCCGCGCGTCCCTGGCGCCGCAGCCCTCGGGGCTGGCCGCGCAGCCCGGCCCCGGGCGCTGGACGCCGCCGCCTGCGATAGGCGCGCTGCCGCCGGCTCCAGGGTCCGCTTGGGCTGCGGGGGCCGTTCCCGCACGCACAGGCTGCGCGACGCGGGGCGAGCGCCTCCCCGCAGCAGAGCTCGCCGCGCGGGGGAGCTCGACCGCCGCGCCGCCGCCCGCGCTGCCGCCGCCCGCCAAAGTTTCTCGGTCACGTGCCAGTCTTTCCGGGCTGGGAGGTCAGCGCCTTGCAGCGAAGTCCACCCCCGAGGGCGGACCATGTGGCGGGGGCTGCGGTCCACCCTCTGCTCAGGCCACCACGCAGGATGGGACTCGATATCTTCGTATGCTCCTGGCAGCCTTGCACCTGTACTGGGTGTCAGGAACAGAAAGGCTACAAGGACTTGGCATAACTTCTCCTGGGGCTTAGACCTGTGTAGTTTTTGTTTGCTTGTTTGTTTTGTTTTTTTGTTGTACCCTGGCTGGTGCATCTGATTCAAAGAACCAAGAAGCCCCAGCCAAATTGGAATCCATAGGGGAGAAACCCACTAGGCAACATTTTTTTTTTTCTGTTAAAACACGTGGCTTAAGGGCCTTTTAACAGAAAAAGCGTTTTCAATAAGAGAGAGAGAGAGAGAGAGAGAGAGAGAGAGGGGGGGGGGGGATTGAAATGGCCTACACCTATACATCCGCCATTTGCAGAGCTCATTTCCATGGATTATGCCCACTTTTAAAATGGAGCTGTCTCCTGTCTATTGGAAAGGACTCACAATACACTGAGAAAGCGCTGAGAAACTAGTGCTTGGGTTAGTAAATACATACTAAGGCTCTCCTGGGCTCTAAGAACTAAGGCTACAGGATGAGTAATGGTATAGACTTCCTGTCCTTGAGGAGCCGCATCTTCATAATGCACACTCATTGTAAAAATAAATAAATAAATAAAAATAAAAAAAAAATTTAAAAAAATGTGCCAGTGTCATCGTAGGAGAGATAGGGAAGGGGCTGGGTGGACTCAGGAAAGAGTAAGTTAGTCAAGTTAGTCCCGGGGTGGGGCTGATGACCACAATAAAGGAGACATGTGTGTTAGCACTTGAAAGATGGGACAAGATTTGGGCTGTTGAGGGTTGGTGGCGGTAAAGAAGCAGGAATCCATGTTCTAGCTAGAAGAAGGGAGAAAGAACGCCCACCAAAAACTGTGGGTGAACTCGGGAGCAGAAATCCCTCACCCTAAGAACTGATGCATGTGAAAGCATAGGTGACATACACTGGGACACATGCGGAATAAGGAGGAGGCCCAATGGTGGCCTTTTGCCACGACTTGCCTTCTGGGTTCCTTTTGTGTATTTGTATAGTTACAAATACAGAAGCCAGAAAGTCTAGTCGCCTCCTGACCACCAAAGCTGGAGGGTAGGCCCCTGGCCCCGGCATGGCCAGGGTGACCTCTTAACCCGTAGGTTTCCGAATCTAGATCAAGTAGTGCAAGAGGCGGGGGCACTGGAGAACCAGTGTTGCCCAGAGGTAGCAGCAGCTTCTGGGGACAGGGCCAGGAGTGGTGGATGGAAGTCAGGAGGCCGCACTGCTCAGGGATGCGGTCTGAGCTGCAGTCCTGGTGTGGCCTCTCTAGTTTCCCAGTTGTCTCCTGCATCTGGATCTTCAGCATATTTAGTAAGCCTTAGAGCCACTCTACGTTTCACAGATGGTCTTTTTATTTCATTTAAATGAGTGATTTGTATGCCATTAAGAGCCCCCAAGTAATACGCTCTATGAGAGAACTTTGAAGACTGTATCCTTTAGCACCCAGAAAATTAGAAAATTAAGATGGTACTTAACGTCCATCGGTTTCTTATTCTAAGCAAGTTTGTGGGTGTTTTACAAGATTTCTTGTCACTAATACCTTTAAGATCAAGAAGACAGTAAATGGTGGAGCTAGAATTTGACCTCAGGCCATCTGGCTCCAAAATGAGTGCTTTCCACTACAAAAAGCATGTCTACATCAGTGTTGAAATAGCGATGTATTTGTATCATGCTCTGCTATTTGCTGTGTGCCTATGTTTGTACATGTGCAAAACTTAGACATATGAGAAAGTTTATACGGAGGGGAGATACGGGAGATGGGCTGATTTAAAAGGTGAGTGTTCAGAAACATGACCTTCGAATGTGTGTTATGTGTAAGTCAACAGGAATCAGGAGTCTTGCAGAAGAATTGTATCATAGTGAATCATAGAATGCAGGTCCCCTGCCTTTCATCCCAGGAACTCTTTTCAGTTCTGCATGTTATCATACTGTGTGTTTACAACTAGAGAGATGAAGTGGTCTATCCCCTATGTTCCTGAGTGGGTGGGACTCTGTGCTACATTCTAAATTGAACTATGTGCCCCTCCTAAATGCACATCACTGTGTCCCTATACACACCACTATGCTCCTATTACACACCACTATGCTCCTATGCACACCACTATGCCCCTATGCACACCACTATGCCCCTATGCACACCACTATGCCCCTATGCACACCACTATGCTCCTATGTACACCACTATGCTCCTATGCACACCACTATGCCCCTATGCACACCACTATGCCCCTATTACACACCACTATGCTCCTATGCACACCACTATGCCCCTATGCACACCACTATGCCCCTATGCACACCACTATGCCCCTATGCACACCACTATGCCCCTATGCACACCACTATGCCCCTATGCACACCACTATGCCCCTATTACACACCACTATGCTCCTATGCACACCACTATGCCCCTATGCACATCACTATGTCCCTATGCATACCACTATGCTCCTATGCACACCACAATTCTCCTATCCACACCACTATGCTCCTATGCACATCACTGTGCTCCTGTGCACACCACTGTGGTCAATACGAAAACACTAAGGCTATCCCTGGTGATCCAAAATCTGCAGCCCAAAGGACTCTGAGACAACAGAATTGGTTTGTCATATTGATAGTAGGCAGTGAAATACAGGACCCCCAGTATCTGATTGCCTTTGTTTTTCTTTTGGACCTGGAGCAGCAGAATTTCTGTACAGTGTCTGTTTAAAAAGGAGAGTCCAAGTTCACTTAAAAATAATGAAATCAAAATCATCATACAACCTGGAAATCTGCATTTTAATCCCTTCTTCAAGTACTTTCAATAAAGTTTAGTTTTTGAGAAGTAATATTATTTTCATTTTCCTAGAAAGTGGTTAATATTTGCAAATAAGCCTGTAATGTGGCTAAATTCTCACTGTCCATTTACACTAGCCAGGCAGAGCAGTTCTCTGGGTAGAGATTGGTTGATCACAAGAAAGGGAGAGGTCTGCTCCCCAGCATGTCACACTTTCTCCTGCAATGATCCCAACATGTCAGAGAAAGATGCTACCTTGGACCAGAGAAGGAATCTCAGAAAGTCATGACTAGCATCGGGTTTAGTGGGGAGAAAGGATGGGCAAGTAGTCTACTTCCTTCAAAGCTGCACGCTTTAGAACGGAAACCAGGACACAGAATAGAGACGTGAGCCACCACAGGGAGCCATGCTGGGAGCTGGGAGCTGAGAGCAACACATAGTTATAAATACGATGCAGCTGAACTCTCTTTAAAACATGATTCCATTGCAGACACACAGGCACGCATGCACATGAATCCTGGTTAACGTGGGTCTTTTTAAAGTACACAGATAAAAATTATATTTCTACCTCTTTCTGATCTTTGTTCCCGGAAGAGTAGATGAGGTAGGACTTTAAAGCAGATGCCATTTTAAAAAGAAATTCTAAGTTTGGTTCCTCCTTCTTTTCTTTGTGCCACCTATTGGGTTTGTTATCCTCCCCATCCTCATACTGACAAAACCATCCCCAGCGAATTCTGAGTTCAAAAAAAAAAATCTAAACCAAGGACTCTCCTAGAAATGGACACATTTTTAATCTGGAAGCTCTTTTGTAAAAGAGGGATACTTTGTTTTTTTTTTTTTTTTAAGTCTTAAAGACAAGTATTGTAACACAAAGTTCATGATGCCCTCCTTGTCAACTACCAAGAACTGTGGCCATTACATCATAAGCAAAAGACTGGGTGAATATGCTATAGTTCATGCATTTGTGTTATGTTTAACCTTAGAGCCTGCTACCTCAGGCTCACACTTTGGGTGGTACGGGATGCTGAATTAAATGGTACCTTTGTACTCTACCTGAGGTCAGAAGACCCTCCTCCTGAATTAGCTCTCTGAATGCCTTTCCCCGAAGGGCCTGAGCAAAAATAATGTGCAGGAAAAAAAAGAACAAAACAGTATGATCTCAAATATGGGGGAAGATACGTTTTACAAAGATGAAACAACAAAAGTGATAATCTCAAGGTAATATTTTAATTCATTTGTATCTTCTTTATAATTTTCTGAACACTGTTATTTCTACAATGTGGAAGTTTTTGACTGAACATATGCCCCTCCTCGAATTTATTCAGTGTCCGGGACTTCCCTGGAGGAAGGAGAAAGGCAGAGGGGAGGGGCAGGTGCTTTGTCAGGCCTGTATTTTTAGCCAGATACAAAGCTCCCAAATGTACACCTGCTCTCATTATGTCTCAATTGTGATCCACTAATCAAGTTAATTATGAAGATTTGAAGCCCTGGGAACACTTACAGACTAATACTTCAGCCCATAAATTGTTTGTAATTTACAGGGCCAGAGATGAAGTAAGGCAATTTCTCTGTTATGAGCCCTCATTCTGATTTTGGCTTGTGTTTCTGTTTCTGTTCCAATTATTAGCATCTTTTGGAAACCTGAATAACACTGGCAACTCCCAAAATGGGGAACAGAGCAATTCTGATCCCAGTGATGGAACAATGTCTGATAGCCTGAAAGAGAAAGAAGAAAGGGGATATGGCCTGTTGAATTTCACAAGCCCAACGTGCCTTGAGCACTAGACCTTGACAGGGTGAAAGGTTCTTGCTCAGAGACCTAAGCATTTTTTCAGAGGCTTTCTCTGGTCCCAGTCATAGACAGAAAGAACCCAAGTGCTAGACAGGAGCTACAAAAATACATTATCTGATGACCTCACTCCCAAGAATATGGGTAGATGCCTCATCCAGCATAGCTCCAAGGTCTGACCGCACTAGTGTGGGAATGGAAAAGAGACAGCACACAGACATACATGGGCAGAAATCTTGGATGGGCTAGATTCGGCTGTCTGATTAAAACCTCAGCACACTGGAAGCTCGGTATGCTTATTATATACAGTTGAACACGGTCTGGGTTCTTAAGTACAAACAAGAAGGCAGGACTTATGGCTTACTGCTGGATCAAGAAATGTGCTTTAGCCCTAACAAGTGAGAGTGGAGTTTGCTTCCCACAGGCGTGTTCACATGAGCAGAGGGGCAATAATGCTGTAGGGAAGCTGAGATCAGACAAAGGAGATTGGGCTAAAAGGTCTAGACTTTGTAGGAGCAGTCTCTGTGGGGGAGTGGTTTTTAGGCTGTAGATAGCCAGGAAGAGACAGCTATGAGGGACATTTTCTGTACACACCGTTAATATCCACATGTGGACCAGAGGAAGGCTTTGCTGTCCCTCTAAGCCAATGTCAACATTCACTCCGGGCTTCCTCTGTTCCCCACACACAGGGATGGTGAGGTGGAGCATAAAGACAGACACTGAACATCATGAAAGGAAGTAGATCAAATGAGCAAAGGGCAAGTGAACTCTCAATGACACTTTTAGAGAGCATCCACCTTGACCTTCATATTGGAATTGTGGAGTAAAGACATCTCACACAAGTGTATGCACTGTGCCCCTCCTTGCCAATTCTAGATGCCTTACACATGAAAGGAATCAATATTCATTACCATCTGCTCCAGGATACTCACCTGCCTTTCACCTTCTTCTCCCTGCCATAAAATCATTCACTTATTGAGTAAAGATGAACAGGAATTCAAAGATGAATGAATGAGTCACAACCCATCAAAGAACTTACAGATGCATCACAGGCATGTGTGTGGGGAGGGAGGCAAAGACGATGGTGTGACAGGAACCATGTTGAAGAATGTATCAGGTATGGTGTGAAAATAAAAACAGGGGGAATGGATCATTTGTGTGACTCAGAAATATTTTCATTGAGGTAACCCCTGATCTAAATCTTAAGCATCACTGGAAAAGAATCTCTTCTGGCAGAAAGGAAGCCAGAGGTGCAGAGACATAAGCAGCAAACAGAAGTGAAAGTGGGGCTTGCTTCCCAGAGGATGTGCTTGAATGGGCAGCGTGGCAATAACACTGAGATCAGACAACGGAAACTGGGTTTCCAGGTCTGAACTTCAAGGCAAAGGAACTCATAAGAACTTTTAACAAAAGGAACATCAGCCTTGTGTTTCACCAAATTGTGTTTCTGGCCATAGAATATAGGATGAGTTAAGGAGAGAAAAAAAATAGATAGAGGCCTTCTTCATGGAGGTGTTAATTTTAAGAGGCCAGGAAGGAACAAATCATCCAAAGTAGGCCATGGGACACCATGAATAGGAATTGAGAGTAATATTGCTGGACAATGCAAGAGGCAAAATCCATGTAATCAACAAAAGGTTGAAGGTATATACACTTGGTGGGTAGAAGGAACTGGGCAGTTGGGGTTCATTTACTCAAAATGTAGAAACACATTCAGCAATACCTAGAAGGAACCCAG